CCCCTGCGGAACTCCACAGGTGAGTTGCCTCGCGGTCGACCTCTGCCCCCCTGCCAACACCGACTGCGACCGGTCGGAGAGGTAGGAGGAGAACCACTGCCAAACAGTGCCTCCTAACCCCAACCCCCCCAGCCGATGCAGTAGGATACCATGGTCGATGGTATCGAACGCCGCTGAGAGATCTAACAGGACCAGGATACTCAACCCCTGAGATATTGGAACACTGCTATCATGTCCCCCCTCGGCCTTCTCTTCATTAAACTAGACATATCCAATTCCAGCAGCCTTTCCTTATATGCTTTAGCCTCCAGTCCCCTAATCATCTTTGTTGCTCTTCTCTGTACTCTTTCTAGAGTCTTTTTCTTTTTCTTTCTTGTGCAGCACAACAAACCAAGTATATACAGTATAATCTGTAACCTTGCTTTGTTCAGGGCCCTTCTGCAATTCTTCGGCAAGAAGCAAATGATCCTTTAGTTAACACAATTACATATAGTTTGTTGCATTTATCTGCAATCACTTTGGTTCCTCATGTTGAGTGGACATTTTCCCCACATCAGTACACAGGTAGTCCTCAACTTAACAACAGTTTGTTTAATGACCTTTCAAAGTTACAACAGCATTGAAAAAAGTGACTTATGACCATCACTTCTAGCTATTCTCTGGAATTCTGCATTCAATTGGGTGTATCTTTCTCTTTCTCCCTTGCCTTTCGCTTCCCTTCTTTACAGTAATCTTTTGCAAATGAAATATCAGTTGGAACACATACATTAAAAGGCATAAAAAATGCTTTGCATGCATATGAACAGAAAATGAGTTTATATAGTAGCAGAATAATTGTAAAAGCATCACTGAACATCTGTACATTAATATATGCACTCTGTAATAACCAAAATTGTGATAACAAACTCTTGAACTCTATTCCAGCCTAGCTTTGCATCCTGATAAAACACTTGTTGCTACAGGACAAGTTGGCAAGGACCCTTATATCTGCATCTGGGATTCCTACAATATACAGGCTGTCTCTGTCTTAAAAGATGCACATACCCATGGAGTTGCATGCTTGGCTTTTGATTCAGATGGTCAGGTGTGTATCTATTGAATTTATATTTTTGTTGTATTTAATGCTCTACTAGAGTGGAACCAAAATATCAATTTTCCTGTTGTTGTTTTTTGGAACATTCTCCTCTTATAAAATGAGAGTGTGACAATTTTCTGCTAATCCTTTGGGAAGAGAAATATTTATAAAATGTTTGTGTTACAGCGTACTTAAACTTATGCAGTAGCAACAAGATAACCTAAAATAATCTACATTTAAATTTATTTTCCTGATAAGAGGGGTTAAGAACATAAAAAGAAGCTTGTAATACAGATTAGATGTAAAATACGAAGAAGAATTTATCTTTTCCAATACACTATTAGAACGAGATTAGTGTAAGGCTTAACCAAATGGTATAATCATGTGATTCACTTGATGTCACATTTCAGAAATAAAACACATTTCAGAAATAAAGCAATCAGATTCCAATCCCACCAAAATAATCAGTCGGGATCAGGCACAAAGAAAGAACCAATCAGAGATCAGCCCTCACCAACCTACACAAATAGGAAACCAGTTCATCTAAAGACCAATAAAAACAGGAACCCAATCAGTCCTTCCTTAGCTGCCACTTTATCTTTAAATATGCAAGTAAAATTTTAGGAACTTTGCTGTCTAGCCCAGTGGTAGTCAACCTTGGCTCTTTTATGACTCGTGGATTTCAACTCCCAGAATTCCTGAGCCAGCATGGCTGGCTCAGGAATTCTGGGAGTTGAAGTCCACGAGTCATAAAAGAGCCAAGGTTGACTGCCCCTGGGCTAGCCTATGGTCACTAAACCCTGAAGCTCAACATTGCCCAGCTGTGAAATACTACACCAGTAAAACATTTTAAAATTTCACCTGTATTAATTTTGTATCAGTGGTTGGTGACATTTTCAACATTCTAAAAGTATCAGCACTGAATACTTGGTGAAAATTCGACCTGACAGTGGTAGCAGGGAAAAAGCAGCAATATATTCTAGAATCTAGAGCATTGAAAATAGTTCCTGCGGTCAGTTCATTTTAAGTGCCTCTGTCTCACAGCTGAAAGTAATGTAAGAGAGAGAGAGAGAGAGACTGCTCTTTGAAGCCCTGATTCTAGCTAGTTAGATCAATGGTTTGATTCAGCTAAAGAATCTTCTACCAGAAATAAAAAATAGTTTCCCGAGAGGTAGGTGACATATTCAACTGCCCATTTTTTGAAAAAGAGAAATTATCTTTCTGCATGAGAGAACCAGTTGTCTCTTTTTGGTTCACAAAGTTGTGGTAAAGATTGCATATCCAGATTCTGTTTGCTTCGGTGGATGACTTATTTTAAGGCATTTACCTTTTATATTGCCATGTGTATCTAAAATATGAAATTAACAAAAGGAAGATGCTATAGATTGTTCTGAAACACATTAAATTCAACTTACAAACTTGTTTGGGAGGAAGGAGTATTTGACTATGTTGAATGGTGAAACCTATACTGCATTTGAATCTTTTAGCATTCTCTATACAACCCTTTCAGCATCCCTTTTCAACCCCTTTATGCATTGATGTATTGTAGAAAGTTACTCCTGAACTCATCTTCATTTAAAAACTGTTATGTATTATTTTTCCTAAGCGTTTATCTTCAGTGGGATTGGATGCCAAAAACACAGTCTGCATTTGGGATTGGAAGAAAGGAAAACTACTGGCATCAGCTACTGGCCACTCAGATAGGGTAATCAGCTAATGAATTTGCCATGTATTTCTCTTGTAATGTATGAGTGTGCCTTTTGTTTGTATTAGGAATGCAAATTAGCTTGTAAAATTCTTTATGGGAAATGGTATTATTTCATATAATGGAGGGGTAATTTAACAGCTAGGATTTTTGTCTGGATTATATCACTGACAACCAAATATAATTTGGGAGTGATTTGTTGCTGCCGCTTCTGTTGTTTTACTGAAAACAGTTGGCTAGGCTACTAATTTGATTGTAAAAGATTAATGTCCCATCCTATCTTAGTTTGATTCACTTTTTGGTTTCATACATTTTACTTCCAAGTTGTTACCAGCCTATTGAAGAAAAATATGGTATATGATATGAATATATGGATTCCACCTTCTCTTTTTTGCTCCATGGAGTTAAAGAAACTTGGAATTTTGTGGTCAAGTGAATAGAATAGGGAAAGTTAAACTTCCCCCTCTGAGCACCTCTTCTTTGACCTTGTAGCTGTTTGAACTGAACAGTGATCACAACAATAATGAAATAGCGGTGAAAAATTTTACTCATGCAGTATAGCTATTCCATAAATGGTGATTAAACAATTGTACATTTTCAGAGGTGTTTGTTGTCATATCCAACGTACCAGGCTTCCTTTACATAAAGTGTCACTTAGAACAGAAAGAGAAAACTTGAGAGCCAGTTTGGTGTAGCTGTGAAGGCAAAAGACTAGAAACCAGGGGCCTGAATTCTATTCCTACCTTGGGTACAAAGCCAGTTGGGTAACCTTGGGCCACTTGCTTTCTCTCAGCCCAGCCACTTCTGAAACACTTTGCCAAGGACTTGGGTAGGCAGTGAGAATCAGACACAATTGAATGGAAATAAAAACACATTGTGAGAGTTCAATATTTAATATCACACATGGTTTCATGCATTAATGTGTGAGGTTTATGAGGGTGTGATTTCAAAAATCTTACCAGTTTTGGACCACTTGAGAGTTTTAACCTATTTTTTATTGCATCTGTGCTATTGCAAAAAGGGCATAATATTATCTCTGTTTGAAAATATTTACTGATTGATAATTTCTCTGAAAGTCAGCTTGTCCATTACTATTGGTTTCTTCCTGTATATAATGCTGAAGGAGTTCTTTGCAAAAATTCCTTTCATGAGACTCCCATTATGTCAGCGGCTTTTTGGTTTTCTGTGGTGATTATTTTAGGAAATTAAAATGGAATTTTGAAGCAGTCCCCATTAACTGTTTGATAATGTTACAGGCTAAAGTTGCACCCAGTTCTGAATGATTCTGCTATCAATTTAAATTATGCAGAGCACAAATAATTGTATAATTTTCTAGGTGGATCAATTAAATAGTAATAGGTATGTGAGAAAAATAGTGTAAAATCAGTTTTTTCAAGATGATATCTATATAGCAAGGATGTGCTTTATCTAATAAATACAATCTTTTATAACAATACTGTTTATTTTAAATCTCATCTAGTTCTTTTAGGTCTGTACTATTTGGTATTTATTAATATTTTCATTTTTTTCTTATAATTGTTAACATTCCTATTATATATATGTAAATACTGTAAATTAAAGGCAAACATATATAATGAACCTTGTAAGGTGTTTGTTTTGCTGACTGTTTTTCAAATGCATTTGTCTTCTATAAAAAAAATTACGAGCTATGATGTAACTATTAACAGTCTTGATAATAGAGATATAGAACTTTGTTGAAATTGTATGAAAGAAATAGACATTTCTAGGATTTAATGCACTTCATTTTTAATTTAGTGTAGCAGTTTTGAATGTGTTTTGACAGATTTTTGATATTTCCTGGGATCCATTTCAACCTAACCGAGTGGCTAGCTGTGGAGTGAAACATATCAAGGTAACATAACATATCAAGGTAAATTGGTTTTGATGCTTTGCATTATCAGTGGAGAAAAATGTTATATTTACCTGACACATTTTCCCTTACTAACTTCTTTTAAGTTATAATTATTACATCGCCAATGCAAGGTAATAGACAAATTCTTAACACATAGAGTTACTGTTGAGAGGAATAAGTTATCAAGATAAGTAGAAGGGACACATGGTGAGAGTTTCAAATATGTGTAGCCTCCCCCCCCCCATGTTTTTAATCAAAATAGATTTATTTAGAACAGGGGAAAACAAGTAAAAGTTGCTGAAATACAGTACAAGCTAACTATGCTATTGGGAATTATAATGTGGTGTCAACCTACAAACTCCTTATTTAGAAAAAAGTTTTCCTAAATTAGACTCTTAAATGTAATATGCACATTAAAAAAAACCCCAAAAGTTCCATATCTTATTTGAATTCGTGTTTACTTCTTTCATCTTGTATTTCATGATCATAATATTTCAGTTACTAACAGACTGTGATTATTCTATTATAACTGGATTATATTTTTTCTGTCCAGATATTTCTAACTTTTACTTTGCCTTGTGTGCAGACTATAGATGAGGGCTTGTTATAAACTATCGATAGATTTCATTTTCTTTCAGGATACATCATCTTTTTGACAAGCCCTCATCTCTAGTTTTGACACATGTCATGTCATTTTAGCTGAATGCAAAGATGCAACAAATGTGATATCATTTAAGCATGTGTGAATTCTGCTACTAATCTAACCACTATGATTTTTTTTGTTAATCAAATTGTAACTTGTTAACAAATTGTGATTGAAAAAAATGGTAGAGTTTATGTGAATCAAGTCATTAACTGCAAATTGTTACTGTATTCTAACTCAGAATTAATTTTTATCCTAATTTATTGAATTGTTCTGTACTCACCTGATTACAGAAAAAAGAGATGAACAGTTAAAAAAATCACATCATTCATGTGGTTAATGGGTATTTACAGACATTTTCATAGATTTTTATGTTCACTCTTAATCATTGAAATATTTTAATAAACTTCAAAGCATAGATATTGATGTAGTATATGATTCATTTATTGCTAGTTGCTAGATTGGTTACTGCAAAATTTTGGATACCTAAAGCCTTATATCTTTTTCTGAATTAATGACATTTTAAAATAAGGAAAATTGCCTTGATTAAATAATTAGTTCTGTAACTAACCCTAAATATAACAAAATAAATGTTATTTTACTAATGAATATTTAATATGCATATTAAAAATAAAATGCACATACATATTCATGTAGACTGATAAAGAGATATAATATCTTAAACAGGTATAAATAGATGATGAGATCATAAGAGGACAATTTATAAAGACATGCCCCATATATTTATATCTAAATGTCTTTTTCCATTTGATTTTATTCTTTGTATACTTTCCTTTTTAAATTAAATTATTTTCAAATTAAATAAAATTTAAATTAAAAACGCCTGTTTAATTTTGGCATTTTTTTTATTTAGTTAAAAATATCCAAAATGTCCCATATACAAAATATATAAATAAATCTGTCAGTTGGCTCTTCACCAAACAGCTTTTTTTCAGTTCTGAAGATATTTAGCTCCAGATCAATGACATGATTTTTTAAAAAGTTCAATAAATTTGCTAGTATCTAACACTTTATATATGTTTGTGCGTGTGCCTAGTAGTTGTCACTTGTAAAATTTTCCATACCAAAGACACCAAGCCTTTTTCTATATTGAAAAAAATGCCTGTTTTTCTGTTGGGAAAGACTTTGTTCTTTAGATTGGGGAAGAAATTTGTTTCCTCTTCTTTTATTCAGTGTAGGCTACTCTTAATAAATAGTAAGTAGATGGCCAAATATATTGAATAAATGAAATCAATAATAAAATGATGTTCAAGGTAGCTTTCATTGTAAGATTTGCAAAAAAGCTGTAGAAAAGAAAGCAATCAAGGTCAGAGAACACTCCACATTTGCAAAATATCCGAATCAGAAAAATACAACAAAAAGCTAGCAAATCAGAGCCAAAGTTTAGCACAATTTAAAAGACCTGGTTTTCTTTAATAATGAAATAATTAAAAGCAAAGCTAACAAAAGAAGACATTGTTGGAAAATCAATTGTTGCATGCATTATCTTATTGCATCTTCTCATCTTATTGACTACCAGGATTAGCAGATATTAAAGCAGTGTTTCTCAAACTGGGCAACTTTAAAATGTGTGGACTTCAGTCCACAGAATTCCTCAGCCAGTCCACACATCTTAAAATTGCCCAGTTTGAGGAACAGTGATTTAAAGTTAGGGTAGTTATTTCCTTGTTGGCTTTCCCTTGTTTGATATTAATTTGTTATATTTGTCATTGCTAAGCCTAGTATTCCCAAGGTGGTTGTCACTTCCAGTTCATGCTCCTCAATCCCATAGCTTGTCTCCCTATTTTACAGTAGCAGAAAGAATGCAATGGAAGAGTTTAGCAGATTACATGGCTTTGTAATCCTTTACTTAAAATACAGCCAGATCATATGCTTTTCTAATCCAATTTTCTAATAAATAATCTTTTTTTAAATGTAAACATCTATCTCCAGAAATCTTTCTTTGTACTGCTGTACTATTATTTCTGATGTATGCATATTCTGCTGTTTAAAGCTATTCCCACATCAGGTTAAACCTCAGAGTGAAATTTAAAAGTATGAATAATTTTGTGTGTGTGAGAGAGAGAGAGGGAGAGGGAGAATGTGAGTGTGTGCTGGTAGGTCTTCAAAAGAGGCAGATTGGTTTAGACAGGATGGCTAATTGTGATCCAGGTGTAGATTCAGTTGAATTATACAAACTACAGAAAATGGGTCAGTTTGAGTGAAGATGCTGGTGCTTGATATATTTGGAATGAATAGAATTCTCCAAAAAAGAACAGAATGGGATATATACCTCTAACTAAAAGTTCCAAAGGTGCTTTTTCAAAAGGCACCTGGATTTTGTTTTTCCTTTAAGACATTTTCCTTCTCATCCTTAAACAGAGAGGACGGCTGATTTGAAAGAGGGGTCAAAGAGGCCATCTACATTAAGACTGAACAGCTCTCTCTTATCTTCTATTTACAACACAATCCTTTCAGCAGCTCCAAGAAGGTTCCACACCCATTTGCATTATTCAGGTGACCCTGAGGGCACAGATAAACCTCTAGGTAGCCTCAAAGACTTTCAGAAAGAGTGCTAATGACCAAATGACTGCAAGGAATATAAATCCTTTCATCGTCCGCCATTCATTCAGAACTGAAGAAGCTTCTTGGATGAGAAGTGAAATGTCTTCAAGGAAAAACAAAGTCCAGTTGCCTTTTGAAAAAACACTAGCAAATCAAAGATCCCAGTCTGTTCCCTTTGTGCTGAAGCCCCCCCCCCCACAAAAAAATTTCAACCTCAAATTACTATTCCACTGAGACTGAAGTTAGTGGAACAAATTGTACAAGGGGCTAGGAAGACATTCCAGGACCATTAAGGTACAATGGAACCACATGTGTTTTCACTGTAATTGGAAATCTCTGATGAAAGCAGAAGGATGGTCTATACAATTATGGGAAATTGTCCAATAAACTTGGTGTTTTAGGCACCCCATGTGGAGGAGGAATTTTGATTGAAAATTAAACATGATCTTCAACTGTAAAGGGAAAGGCCTTGATTTCCACAATGCTGGATGAAGTCCTGGCAAGAGCCGGATAATCCTTGATTTTATAGAATGCTGGATGCCTCTGGAATGGGGGAGAGCTGGGAAGCATGTAGCTACAGGCATGGGTGGTAAATGCAGATGGGCTGAAACTGCAACATCTCAGTTATTGATACAAACACATTTAATATAACATGGAAGGGTATTGGTCCAGAGTGGCATTTGTCTTTTATTTTAACATCCAATTGCAAATGATGAATAGAGGAGAGGAGGTGCTTTTCATTTAATAACTGAAATGGAATGTTCCAAAATATCTCTTATGAATTGTGTATTTCTGTCAGAAAGGAGATTAGGCAAGTCATGATTTCCTAAATTTTGTTGAATAAACAGATCAGTTGCCTCAGAAGTAGAGGGGAAGCCATGACTAAAATGAAATGAATCACCATAGGGGGAAAAAGTAAATTACAACCTGAATGTCAATTACAGTAGATCTTTGACATGTGATAGGACAGTTATATAGTCCACGAAAAATATATCCCAAGGTTACTTGGGAAACAAGAATGTGTATGGGGGCGAGGTAATTCAATTCACTTGGTGGTGGGTGACTTGATGACAACTGGTAAGGCAAAAAAGTAGATAAGGCAAAATTTTCTAGATGCGAAAGGGAAGTGGGAGGAGGGCTTTAAGGTTGTGGTCAGGTTAGGATGTTCTGTGGATTGGTCAATTCACAAAGTTGGCCCTATCAAGATTTAAGCTTAGCTACATTATGCCTGCTATTGGAGGTATAGACAGATCATCTCCAAAGAGGTTACATCTATGTGTTAGATAGACAGTGTTTGCAGACTTTTGTGTGGAAAAGGTCTATATGTTGTTTATAGTGCATTATGCTGGCCTCAAAGTACCTTATATATGGTTTCTATAAAGTGCTGAGTATAGGGAATAATCAAGAATTTGTAATCCTTTGCCTCCTGATCTGGGAGTGATTCTCATTAAAGGACCCATACTGCAGATTTTATTACAAATAAAGAATTTATTAAAATACATTGATCCTTTCAGGCATTGTGGATTGCAGTTGGAAAGACTTCATTCAGTACTAGGATCACAGGAGGAATAAGAGATTACTAATATCCTTCTGTAAATTTCGACTTGCACTGGTTATTTGTAAAAACAAATTATTTTTATTATTATTTAAGTTAATACTTAATTATCTTGATTTATTTCCTTTTCTTGTTTGTCATTATTTTAAAAGCAATAAAAATGTTTCACGTCAACATTTTTATCATATGATTTTATGTTAGCATCATGTATTCTGAGTATTTGTTCTACTCACTTTAAATCCTTTTGAATCTTTTGATAATGTAAACCATCCTGATAATTCATTTAAGGAGTTAAATGTAAATACCATAAACCACATAAACAGGGACCTGAACTAAGTAAACTGCTAGAGGGTTTTCATACATCTTAAAGATATGATTCAAACACATATTGCAAATGCTGAAGGTACTCTGTTTGTCATTTTGTAGTTTTGGACACTGTGCGGAAATGCCTTGACTGCCAAAAGAGGAATATTTGGCAAAACAGGAGACTTGCAAACTATCCTTTGTTTGTCTTGTGCAAAAGATGATGTTACATTCTCTGGTGCTTTAAATGGAGACGTCTATGTCTGGAAAGGGCTCACCTTAGTACGCACAATCCAAGGAGCTCATGGTGTAAGTTACCACTTATATGCTACTGTACAAAAAGTAGGTTATTAACAGGTATGTTTCCTATTTTACTTTAGGACACTTAACCAGTTCTCAAATGATTTATATGCTGATTGGTTACTGGACTCGCCTAAAGTATGAGTTGGACAGCTATATAAATTTGTTTGGTATATAAATAATAACTAAATAAACTGCACCATACTTGCAGAAGCAATTTTTGTTATTGATTTTGCTGTTCTCAGTAACATCTTGGCAGGCATAAAAATATTCTGCAAGGACAAAAATAACTCATCACATTTTAATTCATTTGATTCAAGGGTATGTTCTACCATAACAATTTTATGAACAGAAAAATAGTCTTGTACTGTAATGTGGCAATAGCAAGGAATCTTAAATTCTAGTGAAGCATGCCAGGATATGTGATTTAGTTAGTGTTATTGTTTGGAGAAAATTGAGCTTGTGAGTTTCATTAAAACATAATTTAATATGAGAAATATTTCAGGTAACATGAATAAGTATGGAACACAATACTCATTATCACTAATCTGTCTATCATATAAGCTATGTCTCTGCAACAATACTTGAATCAATTAATTTCATGGTTACATTATTTAAAGGTGCAATGCCATGAATACAAGTAATTATTTAACTCACTTAACTACAGTAATTGGGTCCTGCAATTCTGTTGCTAAGTGATGCAGTTATAAAGTAGAAAATCCTGTGTCTTTACAATGGCAACTCCAGTGCTGTTGTTAGGTGAATCCCACATGGTTGCAGCATCCCACGATCACATGATCGCCATTTGCGATCTTGTCTTGCTTCCCCATTGACTTTGCTTGTTGAAGCCGGCTGTGAAAGTCATAAATGGTGATCATCTGACTGCAGGATGCTGTGACCGTTGTAGTTGTAAGCCAGTTTCCAGTTGTAAGCCTGAATTGTGATCACATGACTACAGGGTCACTGTGAAGGGCATAAGTTGTGAAGAAATAGTTGTGAGTCACTAAATCAGTGGTGTTGAAAGAGGACTACCCATAGTGTGCCATGAGCATTTCTTATTCTAACATTTGTAATAGGAAATGATCAAAATAGAACTTTATGATTAACAAATATTTATTGCTTGTTCCAAAGATAAATCTTTTTCTATGCTGATGAAATGAATTCAATATTGCCTTGATTATCTTGGCAATTATTTTGTTTCTTCAGTTAGTTTACTGTGTTTAGGGTTCAGTCAGTCATTTATGCAAGGAGCATCATAACTGCTTTAATCGTTCTTGTAAGCTTATCCATTTAATTTGTTCAACATATATACACTATTGATAAACTCTATAATATGCTTGTATCTTTATGTTAATTGTATCTAAATATCTAAACCAAGGTCGGTTTTATCTTTACACAAGGTTAGGATGTGTGTGTCTGTGTCTGTGTCTGTGTCTGTGTGGTGTGTGTATGCGTATATATGTCATGAAAACTGTTGCAACTGACTTAGATCTTAGCAATGACAAATAGAAATATGAAGTACATGCATCATAGAAATAGGCTGATCAAGAAAAGCGTGCTAGAGTAGTAGATATGAACTCAAATTATAGAATTGTCACACAGTGTTATTATTTTAATATGATTCAGCAGCGCACAAATGACTATATGCCTAATCTGGTTTTGCTGCCTAATATCTCTTGGCAAGGAAAAACATATTTCTAATAGGCTGGTTTTGCTTTGTTTGTTTGTGTATGATGGAATGACTAAATCATCTGATTATATAAATGTTTGGAATCTCATAGGAAAAAACATTGTGATGTAATTCTGTTTGACAAGCAGTACATTTTAACACTTTGCAAACAGCAGTGTCCTATGAAAAAAAATTAAACCCAATTGTTTTATTGTGCAGGCTGGAATTTTTAGTATGTATGGATGTGAGGAAGGTTTTGCAACTGGTGGGAGAGATGGCTGCATTCGACTGTGGGATATTGATTTCAAGCCAATAACTAAAATTGATCTCAGGGAGACTGAGCAAGGATATAAAGGTAATAGTACTTTTATTAAGGTTTTGCTCTTAATTTGTACAAATATTTTATTTGTAAATTGTTTGGTATAAAATAGGTATTCTAGAAAAATGTTTTTATACTTGCAGAATGTTTACTATGATCATAAGGAATTAGTAGAACCAATGCATGTTTTGGAGTAGCTGAAACCAGTTCATTGAAGTGCAGTTCACAATACTTGTAGAGATTGGCTGACAGAAGGGCACATCACAGGGTCGGTGATATAAGGGACCAGGACTTTTTTTCTCATAGAACGCCCAGAACGGAGTTCCGGCACCTTTTTTGGATGGAACCTTGTAGGGTAGGCAAGGCAAGTTGTATGACGTGTGTGAGTTCCGGCACCTTTTTTTTTTTTTTTAGAAAAAAAGCACTGTAAGGGATCTTGTCCCTCCTGACAGTGGCCTTAGGCCACATCTTGTTCCTGCCTTGGCACAACTTCTGACTATGTGTTACATAGTACTTCCTGATACTATCATTCAATTTCCTGGCGAAAGGGAAAGCTTTAATATCCAATGTCGTTTTGGTCTCAAGACTCTTTTGCCAGCAAGGATGGAGTTGAGGGGAACCCTTTGGGTCAATATAAAAGGGAGAAAAAATGACATTGCCATAGGTGTATACTATAGGCCACCCAAACAAACAGAGGAAATAGATGAACTTTTTGCTAGTCAGCTAACTAAGGTATGTAGGAAGCACATCACCATAGTAATGGGGGACTTTAATTACCCTGACATCAACTGGGAGACAAACTCTGCACCAAGTGGAAGATCAAACAGATTCCTGACAAACCTAGCAGACAACTTTGTCTCCCAAAAGGTAGAGAAGTGAACTAGGAGATAGATAGATAGATAGATAGATAGATAGATAGATAGATAGATAGATAGATAGATAGATAGATAGATAGATAGATAGATAGATAGATAGATAGAAGGTGTTGAAGCCACAGGAACCTTGGGAGGTAGTGATCATGCAATATTGGAATTCAACATTATGGAAGCACAAGCAATAGAACATAGTCAAACTAGAGTCTTGGACTTCAAGAGAGCTAATTTCAATAAACTTAGAGAGGGCTTGGGAAAGATTCCATGGATGAGAATCGTCCAGGGGAAAACAACACAAGAAGCTTGGGAAATTTTGAAAAGCAAGATAATAGAAGCCCAGTCTACCTCAATACCAACAAAGAGGAAAAATAACAGCTCTCAAAAGAAACCAGCATGGCTGCATAAAGAACTCTCTGACAAATTGAAAGATAAAAAGGACAAGTATAGAAAGTGGAAAGAGGGGCACATAACTAAAT